AAAATGGTATAAAATGATTTTTCTTTCAAAAAAATTTCAGTGATTGTGGTTTGTACACGTGTCTATTTGCTGAATACATCAGTAATGGAGTTTTTGATATGCGTTCTGTTGATATCGATGGAAAGTACCATCGTCAAAGGTATGCTACAATCATATGGCATTATGGAAAAACAAAGAATGATGATGGCGCGACCAGTGAGAGTGAAGTAACTGGCACTGTTGCTAGCAAATTTGATGGACCCCGCATAGCAAAAGAACATGCTCCAGATACCAGCAATTATCCCACACCAAGATCACGGAGATCAAATTTGAGATAGTTGATTGCACCTTAGACTCTTTAGAATTACAAGTTTTTTTTTTTTGCTTTTGGACGATATTTTTGTGTTTGTTACAGCTTTAAGTAGTTGATGTATATAATATCCATTATTTTATTCCAAAAAGATACCAACTACATATGAATTACAGATTGACTATTGTAATCGCAGGATACTAGTTATATACAGACTACATTCCAAATGGATACACCATTCTAAAGATAAATTACACATTGACTATAATAATTCTCGGGATAACAGTTATATACAAAATGCATACAAATTGGATTCAACATTTAGAGTTTATGACTTTACAATGTCTTATTAACTATAAAGAAATCATACTATTAATTTAGAGTTCATGAACTAACTTTGACTTATAATTGGGATCCAAACTATACATCTTTGGCATCCAAATTCATATTCTAATACAAAAAAATAAAAAATGAATGAAGTTGGTATCTAACATGTATAAATACCTTGTATAAACGATTATGCCAATGTAAAATAGTGACAACAATTCTGGAAAAAATAGCAGAGAGAGAAACGTTGAAGAAAATGGATAAAAATAAGACTTTTTAATTAATTTAACAGATTAGAGTGAATTAAGGAAATAAATAATTCCTAATTAGTTTGTAATCTCCTAAATTTATGCTAATTAATAATGTCATCAATCAATTCAAATTTAATTAAATACACCTATTTCCGTTTTTTATTTTTTCTTCAAAATCGATTTATTTTCCTTTTTTATCTTTTTTTTTTTCAAAACAGATTTTTACAATTAATTAAAAAAACGTTTTTTTTAAATAAAATATTATAACCTGAAATTTTTTATTGTTTACAACTTGAAAGTTTTATTCTACTGCTATAACTTGAAAATATTAGTCTAATAAATGTCATATGAAATTTTCAAAATCTCAACACCTTTGATCTGCAAAAGGTTTACTCCAATTGAAAAAGTTCAAAAAATTTGGTCACATTTATGTATATTAAAATATACATTTGCACAGTTAATGAAAGAAAGCATAACTTATTAGATTCCAAAATAATAATATTTGCATAATATATAAATTATTGTATTTTCTTAATATATTTTTGAATTTGTCCCTTATTTAATCATGGTTCCACCAACCAAAATACATGTTCAGTTCTTTCTTTAGTTTCATCTTGTAAACTTTTTTTAGTTTTTGTTGATCAATTTTATATTTAATTACTTACAAAGACAAAAAAAATATATGTCGTAAATGAAAAAGAAGAGAATAACTGTAATAAAATCACGACAGTAAGAGACATGCACATGAAAACATCTTTGGACCACACGTGATAATTTACAGTATTAGAACAATTGATTAACAATAAAGTAAAAATAAATCAAGTGAAAAGTCTACACAGTATATTAGGCATCAGAAAAGAGCTTCTTTAAAATGAAAAAAAAGAAAGTAAATTTACCCGGATCTTGAAGTTGAAATTGAACACTGTTCGAAACAAAATAAGAATGTTTTGACACTTTGGTATCTACTTTTATTTAGTGAAATAGTAATAAATTATGAATAAAGACTATGTCATAAATATTTTTCTTGTAATGGTAGAAGCTTATAGGACCAAATCAATAATAGTTGGATTAGGGACAAGTGATATTCCAAATAATAGTACTATTTTAATTATGGAAATCTGAAAAGGTGTAACCTACTATAATTATTGGCATTTCAATGAAACTAATTTTATATCTATTAATTATTAATATATGTTATTTATTTGGTTAAAAGGTAAAATTTTCACGTAATTTTTATATTTTTTCATAAATATATAATAATAGTGTTTAATAAAATATGATAGTATTTATTTTAATTATCTATATTTTTATCCATAAATATTATGACTTTATAAGGACATTTTAGTAATTTAACTTTTTTTTTTTTGCTTTCCACTTTTAATAATGATGATTATGATTATGATGATGATGATGATATATGATATATATTTCATACAGAGTAAAAAATAAAATAACTAAACCCTACATAATTAAGCCATATATTATTAATCACTACGTTACTAATACCTACGCAACTCTAACCAACAACCAAAAACCAAAGACATAGAGATCAACAAATTAAAGGAATTCAAAACTTTAATCCTTTAACAAAGAGAGCACTTGGCATTGGCTCATTTCATGCTATGATGTTGTCTCCCTATCTCTTGGTTGAAGCGGGGATGGGACTCTATAGTCTCTATCTAGTGCTCTTCCAGCTCGATATCAGTATAAGTATCAATCTCTTTCCGTTCCTGTGTATGAGTGGAATTTTGAGTAATCGATGAGACTAGTAAGAATTCTCCAATAGGTATAATCCTTGTTTTTGTTCCTTCTTTAAATGCTTGAGGGACTTCTTTCAATGTCAATGCTTCAAGTACTACTAGGCACAACATAGCGAGAAGTCAGTCTACTCTGTTCATCTACCCCTAACAATAACAAGCAAGAGGGGGTGCTAAAGTTCAACTTCAACTCTCTCCATTCACTTTTACTTGTCTATTATACTATATTATTATTTTTTCATGTTTTACCTATAGCTATTAATGATTATTCTCCAAATCATTTTATAAGACTTTATACTAAACACTAGTTATTATAATATTGTGGTAAAATACTCAAATTAATTATTATTTTTCAAGAGACGACATGCATAGTCCAAAGTACTGAAGTAGTGGACAAATAAAAGTAAAATGAGGGGTCGGAATAGTTCTTTACAAAAATGGTGATCACTGAAACTGAAAATAGCCTTCAATTACCTTTGTTATTAGCTACAAAATTTATTAGTAATTCCTAATTAATCCATTGCAAAATAGCTCCTAGCAAATTGGATTTTCATGTAATTCATTGTTAATCTGTAGCTAAATGAAAGTAGCATGAAATTTTGACCGTTTAACTACGAAATTTTGTTCGGTCACTAATTCTTTTTTTCTTGTAGTGTTTGGGATATATGGAAGGATGTATCATTTTTAGCTTTTTAGATTGGCGCATTTACTCTGCATTTGTGTTCATTTCACATAGAAGCGACAATTCAGTTTTTGTGGCCTATATGTAGAGGATTTACTGTTAATTGTCAATGCAACATTCCTCCGCCCATAAGATTTCCGTTGCCAATGGAGTCTATGGACATGTCAGGCTGGAACAAGATCAAGGACAAGGTGTCATGCTGTAGAACATAACAAAGAAAACCTCAAAATATCATGAGTTAGGAGACACGAGAAATATATCAAAAGAGGACGAAATAGAACGGGATAAATGACCATACACACAAGTAAGTCAGTAGAATAGCAAGGGAAGCACACATGACACAACAATCACAAAATCATGCTATTTGCATCATTTCTTTAATCTATAAGTAGGAATAGCCAGCAAAGGCATTTCTCTACATGTTACTAGCCCAAACTTCTCATCAATGTCTAAATCACAAGGCTGCATACCATTTGGAAGCTCCCACTCAAAGCAATGCACCAATTGTGCCACCATAAGGCGGACAACAGTAGCTGCCAACTGCATTCCAGGACAACTTCTTCTCCCAGAGCCAAATGGTACAAGTTGAAAGTCGCGTCCACGAAAATCTATAGTGGCAACCGTACGTCGACTACACAATCTTCCATGGACTCATGATAAAATAGTGGCACTACAGGATGCAGCCTCAGGCCCTCTTTTACAACCATGTCTAAGTACTTCAAATTTTCCAGGTTAGATTCTTCAACCATTATTTCAAAGCCTACCACTTCTTGCAACTCCTTTTGGAGTTTCTTCATCACTTGGGGATGTCTAAGAAGTTCTGTGAGTATCCATTCCGTTGATGATGCTGTAGTGTCCATTGCAGCTACAAGCATGTCCGGTATAGTAAAAAGGAAACAGAGGAATTAATTAGTAGTACAAACCATTTCATTCTCAAGGCTTGTGGTATATTAAGCTTATACTAGTAAACATACAAAGAGGGTAGCTTTTACGTGACTACGGTCAAACTGAAATTCTGCTTCTCCAGATTGAACTTCTTGCTTTCTCATGGATTGAAATGAATTGATCTTGCGATTGCTCAAAAGGTGCAGAGTGCACAACTTGCGCATGTTGCGCCAATACACACCATACTTTGCAAATGCCATATTCTTCTGTCCATAAGACAAATATTGAGATGCCTCATGATGAGGCCTACTAGCAAAGATGTGATCATACGTCTTGAGGACCTTCTCCGCTGCATCAGCAGACGAGGCAATGATTGTAGGTACTAGCCCTAGTCTCACATACATAATAGGACCATGTTTCTTAACTAGTTTTTGTAAATCTTCGTGTGGATTTTTACCAGCTAACAAATGAAGATGTCCTAAAATGGGAAAGCCTGTTGAACTTGGAGGAAACTTTTTCCTCTTGGGAATGTTTAGCAGCTGATACAAGGCATATACAAATAGAGAAACCATTAGAGTTGCCCATAACAAAGTCATTGAGTTAGAAGAGAAAAATTCAGTCTTAATTATTCAGATTTGTAGATAGTTTATAAAGGAAATGCAGGACAAGAGCAAAGTAGCAATAGTAATTACTGATATGCCCTATAACTTTGAGTGTGCATAAACAGACACTTAAACTTGTATAAAACTGAATAAGTAGGCACATGTATCCTACATGACATATTACAAGTAGAACACCAAATAGGATGTGAACTGTCACATAAGAAGTCATGTAGGACACATGTGTCTATTTGTTCCATTTTATACAAATTTAAATGTCTACTTATGCACGTCCAAAATAAGAGGGCACAAAAGCCGTTAAAGTATACATGTTCAAAATATTCACTTTCAATACCACGGTAGGGTTTTGCTCTTAGCAGCCGGGCATAATTTTAATTAATTTGAAGATAAGTACTGATTAACTGTCACTTTTATTACTTATACTTCATAAGTACTCTGAATCCTATTATAAAAAAGATTCATTTGTAATTTACTATTCCCTCAATTCCTTTTTATATGTCATCCTTTCTATAAATAGCTGGATCATAATACTTGTCATTTCATAAAATCAATACATGATAAGTAATAAGTAACTTATTACTTAGTCTTGAAAATATATACTTTGACCAACCTAGAAAAACTAATATGTAACTAATATTCATTGGAGTACTTTATACATTGATTAATTACTCTTTCCATTCAATATTCTTTAAAATCTGATTTTAAAAATAAACTCAAAAAGTTAAATAGTCATCCAAATGCATTTTAATTTTTGAAATCTAGTATATTCATCATATTTTGAAAAGTTGATTTAAGAAAATATTAAATAAGGGTAGAAGGGTAAAGTTACTTAATTTCTTAATGCAAGTGTACTCTAAAAATGTGACATATAAAAAGGAACGGAGGGAGTACTAATTGAGGTATATGAAAAGAATTTGAATTATGAGTTCCAAAATATTTTATTGCTCATTTTAATGTATGTGATATAGTTTGACTTAGCATAAAAAAAAATTAAAAAATACTTTTGAAATTTGTAATTTAAAATAAATTATAGATATTTGTGAGTATAAATAATTTCATTAAATATAAAATGAAAATTCTAAAGTTTTTGAATTGTTACTAAATATAAAAATATGTCATTATTCTCGGTACAAAAGTGAGTCAAATAAATTGAGACTAATAAAATATAATTTTGACTAGGGGTTTCTCACTTTCTAGTCAAAGATATGGTAATTTTTTTTATATGATAATAGATATTAGAAAAATGAATAATTAACATACCCTAACAGATCTATTCCCAAAGTCTCCTATTTTTTATTATTATTTTTTAAATTAAAGCAGCCGTCAGGCCATTAGTATTACATTTGGACGGTTATTGTTTTATAATGTATTATATTGTATTATGTTGTGTTATATTACATTGTACGGTATTGTTTTAATGAATACAACGTTTTGATTGATTGTATCGTTTTTCTTCATTACATAATGTCACACATCTATAATCTGAATGATAAACCTATAAGAAAACTAGAATACTAGGTAGAGCTATTATGAAAAGATAGGGTAAAATAAATATAAATGTTATTATTAAATACTAAGGTAACGGCATCACACCAAACATGTCGTTACACAAAATGAGTCTTTTCATTATTATCTAACGATGAATTTAAACATTACGATACAATAAAATTTAATTAACAATCAAAACAAACATTGTACTTAAACTAACAGGTAACAACTAACGGATAACAACCGTCCAAACAAGGTGTTACTATTCTTCCTATTTATAATAATGCGACCAATTTTCACCAATGCATGAGGTAAATATTATAAATATTTCAATTTTTGTATGAAGAATTTATGTTTTTTGCCTTGTTTATATGACAATATCATTTATTGAAGAGTGAAAATAGATCTCTCTTTAATTGTCATTTTTCCAAACATATGCAAATTTAATAATTAAAGAATTAATATCAATTTTACATCAAACGTTAAGTATTTTGACTCTTATGTACCTCTTAGTCAAAGAAATGATTATCTTTAAATACCTTTAATGATCATGAAAACTAATGTTAAGCATATTTGATATAGCATTTTAGTTGTTGTTAAGCATATTTGATATAGCATTTTAGTTTACATTTTTGCCTAATTAAAAAAATATACTAGATACGAGACCCCGTGCCAGCACGGGCCCAATATATACTCCCTATCTCAATTTATATGATATATTTCAGATTTTGAAATTTAAACAAGTCTAATCTTTGATCGTAAATTTTTCATAAATCTTTTAAATAATTTAAATTGTCAATTATTGTGACTTATAGCACTTTTTACGTAATTTAAAAATATATAAATTTATTTTTAAAAAATTAAAGATTCCATAAGCAAATTCTCAGGCAAACTTAAACTCTAGAAAATGAAATGTGTCACATAAATTGAAACAGAGGGAGTATTATTTTTTTATTTTAATTTATGTGATACAAATAGAACTTGAGAAATTATTCAAATTTTAAGTAATTAATTACTGTAATTTATAATATTTTTTACGTAATTTTGTTGAAACAATATATATTATTTCATTTCTCAATTTACGCGGCACATATTTAAATATTTTAAGTTACTAATTATTGTAATTTGTAGTACCTCTTACGTAATTTCTAAATAATATGTATTACTTCTCATGTCTCAATTTATAGGACATTGATATTGCCAAATTTTTATGTCTTTTGAATATTGTAAGTTATTAATTAATGTAATTTATAATACTTTTTACGTTATTTTAATCAAGAAAAAATCTTTTTGGCCAGAAAATTTGGCCAGAATGATATTTTATCTATGTTATTTTACCTTTAAAAATATTTATACCTTTTTAACTTTAATACATTTTAACTAAAAAAAGGAAAAAACATCAGTTTATTAAAAAAAAAAAACATCATAGTTTTTTTAATTTTCTGGTCAAATTTTCTGTCTATTTTAGCACTTCTCTTTAATCAAATACGAAATATCTTAAATTTTATTAGTTAATTTTCTTTTATGTGAAATAATAATTTTCTTCAAAGATAACAAAAATTACATTCTGATGGGATGAGTGGGGTCCGGGTAAGTCATAATAACTAGGGGTGTGCAAAAATCGATTTAACCAATAAATCGAACCGAAAAAAACACTATTGGTTTATTGATATTGGGTTATTGGGCTAACAGTTTTTAAACGGTTTTGCAAATTGTTTTATTGGATTATTGGTTCGGTTTCCGGTTTTATGATTTTGTTAATGGTTAAACCGATAACCCAATAAGACTATACTAAATTTACTAGTCTTATTGTTAATGGTTAAACGATTGTTACTTTCACACTTTTTCTTTTGAATGTGTCTAGTGTCTAAACTGACAAGAAAAATGATTGTTACTTTTATGATTATTACTTTCATGCCAAATGTTAGAAAAATCATATGGTTTATATGAAAATTTTCTTATCGTGTATATAATATATATGAGTATTTTCTTATTGGTTAAATCGAAAACCGAACCGTTAAGTATCATAAACCGATTAACCAAAAACCGATAAGAAATATGTTATTGATTTGGTTATCGGTTTGATGTATTTACAAACCGAAAACTGATAAACCGAACCAATAACACATAAAACCGAACCGAACCGACCGATGCGCACCCCTAATAATAACAACATGCCTCTTTAGACATTTAAAAAAGGCTCAAACTTTAGTTTATTTACTAATGTATACCAATGGATTTAATGTAAAATGATGCAAAAACAAGGGGCAAATGCAACTTTGAAAAAGTAGTGTATTACCAACAAAAAGACACTGTGGGAATCAAAGGAAAAATCATGAAGCAGACAACTCTCAAAGCAAATTGTACTACCATCCAAAGTAACGTAAAAGCAGAATTATCCAGTAAATTATCAACTTGCCCTTGTCTAGGAAGCAAGCATGTTGATGAACAGCTGCATCCTAGACTCTTCTATAGTAATAAGGTATGAATCAATTTATGTATTATTTTATGTAATACGTAATTAACTAATGTATAAATAACATGCGCGTGTAGTTCACGTGATTCATGGGAGCGTGAAAAGGATCGTCAATAGTTGGGCATTTTGAAATGGTTGTTGTGAGTTGTGACGGAAGCAAAATGTGTTTAGTCCTCTCAAGAGCATGAAAAGACATGGTATTAAAAAGTTGATAAGTAATTAATTAGCACATTCTATCCACTGGTGTTATCTTATTTTAGATTACCCTTTTTTGGGTAATAACTACTACTCCCTCTGTTTCATAAAGAATGACCTGGTTTGATTTGGCACAAAGCTTTAGAAAATAAAGAAGACTTTTGAATCTTATGGTCCTTAATTAAAGTTATGCCAAATGTACTAAATTGCCCTTCAATCTTGTGGCTTTAAACATGTCACGTGAAAAGCTGAAATTAAAATGTTACCAAAAAAGAAAAGAGGTCATTCTTTTTGAAGCAGACTAAAAGGAAAGGAGGTCTTTTTTTTTAAACGAAGGGAATATATATTAAAGCAGTTTTTTTTTTTCCAGAACTTGGCAATTTTAATACTAGCACATTTGACCTTTTGTGTACTTTGGGTACCCTTTTGTCCACCCTAATGTCATTACCCGCCACTTTGCCTTACAAATTTGGCAGAAAATAAGGAGGAAGAATTTAGAGTTATGAAGAAGTTAGTGAAAGACTCTAGAATCTCCTATATCTTTCCTTAGAAGACTCTAGATTGCCTGAGAAAATATCTTAGAAAGGCTTAGAATTCTCTAGACTAGTAGAAAATTCTAGATGAGGGACTAGATATTTTCAAGGAAGGCTTTGAAATTCTCTAGAACTTGTAGAGAATTCTAGATTAGGACTAAATTGTAAATATTGTAGAAACTTGTAAAATAATTATTATTTACACTTAGGTCCCTAGAAAAGTAGTGTAAATAGAGGGCCTCTCATTTGTAAATCACCCAACAGGTTGTAAAACATTCTCCAAG